AGTTAAAAATGTCATCAGTAAGCAAGGCTGATAGGAAGGCAACTCTAGACGTTGCTTCATGGTTTTTCAATGTTGTCACATCTGTGGGTATAATCATGGTTAATAAAGCCTTGATGGCAACTTATGGCTTCAGTTTTGGTATGTTTTGAATGAACATTTTATTTTACCTGCAAACTATAATAAGCTTTGTATTTGCATTACATATCTAATAGATCAATCACTTTATGTCATTGTGTTTCCATATAGCCTTGTTGTTCTATGGGTCTGACTTCATATGATCAACCTAAAAGGGAGAAACAGAGTAGCAAGACTAATAGTTTATGAAGTATCATGCAGTCATGGTTTTCTGATTTGTTTAGGTTATGTTTGCTGATTAGAAACTGAAAAGCAAAGAGAAATCCAGAAATTTTATCGAGTAATGATGATCTTTCTATACTCTTTGATCCCTTTTATATCTTAAAAAATAAAAATTTTTGACAAGTCCAATCCTTTATTAAAGTAGGATTTTTCTGACCCGTAGCAGAAATTTTGATTTTCAGCTAATTGTTAGAAATCTCAAACCTTAAAAATAATCTATCTTAAGATATTACCCCCTTAAACTAGAACAATATTTCTCATTTTCCATTTTTGGTTTAGATTTTGGATGGAAACAGCTCAAGGCCTGTTTAGTTTTGGAAAATTATCCTCATTTTCCATTTCGATTTTTACTTTATATTTGGAAGAAGATAAATAATTTGGATAGTATTTTTTTTTTTCAATTTTCCAAAAAACTAGAAGACAAAGAATCCAGAGATTTAGTTGTTTTCCTTTCTTTCATCGATTATATTTAGAGTAAAAGTGAAGATGAAAAATGGAAAATACTTTCCAAATCTAAGAAGACCATAAAATTTAGGAAAGGCTGTCTAACTCTTACAGATGTGAACAGATAAGTGAACAATGTAAGAAGGTATAAGTCAAGCCATTCTACATAGGACAATACAATTTTTTTTAGAGATATGGCATTATTGTTGAAAAGTTAAATGCTTTATATTGCTTAAGAAGCCTTTGGACATATCTAGGTGCTTGAAGTTATTTGATGAAGTTTTGCAGTTGCATTTTGTCATTGCAGATCTGTATATCTGGTGCTTTTTATCTCGTATGGAATCTAAGCATGTTATAAACAAATATTTTTAAAATACAGTGGGTACATATATGAAATTGATTGGAATATTCCAAAGTAGACTTTAGCATTGCCAATATGCAGAGGTATAATGCCTTTCTGATGGGAGGGCTCTTATGAAGGTTAAGAAGTGAACAGAACTTTTTAAAGTTGGATAAGCAAAGAAGTCATCTTTCATTAGCAATTTTTTCTTCTTCAGCTTACATATGAACAGTCCCCAAGGGGACATTGCAGCGGTTATAACTTGAGCCTTCATCTTGAAGATCTTGGTTCAAATCCTAGGATGGGCAGGGTGGGATTTGTAGGATGAGAGAGAGCTACCTCCCATTGTCTAGCTCAAATTCCTTAAATACCAAAAAAATCTTACCTATGAAAAGTACAACTTGCTTTGCCTATGTTAATTCTGATGAAGTAAGTCAAATGTCAACAAAATTTACCCAAGCATTTTCAGTAGCCCTGATGTTGTGTCCCATTTATTACTGTGCTGCAGCTACAACATTAACAGGTTTGCATTTTGCCACAACAACCTTGTTGACAGTTCTTCTTAGATGGCAGGGTTACATTCAGGACTCTTATCTACCATTACCCGATCTTCTCAAGTTTGTCTTGTTTGCAAACTTTTCTATTGTTGGAATGAATGTGAGTTTGATGTGGAATTCTGTGGGCTTCTATCAGGTCAGTTTCAGTGATTTAGATTATTGTTATCTTCTATGTTTGTTGTCTTGGAAATTATGTTACATTGTTTTCTTTAAAAATTATTCTCAGATTGCAAAGCTGAGCATGATTCCAGTATCTTGCTTTCTGGAAGTTGTTTTCGACAAGGTCCGCTACTCGAGGGATACGAAGCTTAGCATACTGGTAGTTCTCCTTGGAGTTGCTGTCTGTACTGTGACAGATGTGAGTGTCAATATCAAGGGTTTTCTAGCTGCTGTAATAGCAGTCTGGAGCACAGCCCTCCAACAGTATGTAAGTAAATCTGCAAGAGTATCCTGTATTTACCAAAGGTTCAATAAGTTGGAAGAAGAATTTGTATATTAATGTCAAATAATTTTGTGATTGCACAAGGTTCAGAATGCATTTGTCGTGGCTTGATCCATTCCCTAAATGAGACACCAGCGATGCCTAATCTTGTTCATGGATTGATATTTTGAGTATTTATTTTTTCTTTTATTTATTTATTTATCTTTTTGCAGTATGTACACTTTCTTCAACGAAAGCATTCTTTAGGATCTTTTGACTTGTTGGGACATACCGCTCCAGTACAAGCTGCAAGCCTGCTGTTAGTTGGTCCTTTTGTGGACTACTGGTTAACAGAGAAAAAGGTTTATGCCTACAACTACACTGTGATATCAATGGTAAGGTTCTTATCAGAGTTGACCATAATCTAGTTGGTAATGATACTGCTCCATTTAACAGGCATGCATTCTCATGAAGTCATTGCAGTTAATTCAATTATTTAATCCATGCCATGTTTATGCTTCTAAATTAAGTTATATTGGTATATATATGGATAGATTTCCACCTGTAATGAGCATTCATTCTTTATCTGCAGCCTTTAAGTGTTCATAAAATGCTAAACATCCTTCATTGTCATTGCAATAGATGACAGTCCTTATTATTGCTGTTATTATCTTCATCAGCTTATTGAATAGGAAATTAAGAATGTCTATAACATTTTATTTTTGTATTCAATTGTGCCACAACTAATTGGATCAAAAAGGAGGGCAAAATTATCTACCTGAGAGACCCAGAAACAGGCCTGTGGTAGCCATAAATAATTTGAGAATGTCTTTGTGTTCATACTGAGGTTATTTCCATTCTTGCTTCTGGTTATAACAAGGATTCACAAATAGGAAAACATGGAAGATTTAAATATCTTACCTACTTCTGATCTTCAAGTGCGCATTGTCCTGTCTTTTCCCCTGTCCAAGCAAGAGCTGGAATACCTCTAGAGCAATGCCTACCTGCCTAGGATGGCTATTTCATTACTTTCGACCCATTTAGCTTATTAAAATTCCTGATATTAGACTGAAGAAGAAAAAGTGCCAATTTCATGGCATTGAAGCTTCCCTCATCAAACTACATGGATTCATGAAGTGCTTTTATAATGTTCTTGATGAAGCTTCATTTTTTGGTACACTTTTTTAAGTGCTTTATATATAGGTAGTATCCTCTCTCTCTCTCTCTCTCTCTCTCTCTCTCTCTCTCTCATGGATATCTATTTTGCTTTAAAAACCACCTGGGTGAAATGATCTCAACGAGAGAGTAATTTTATCTTCCATTTTAAAGTGTGGTTCTGCCAATTTTGATGTAGTTATCCATGATTTTTCCTTTAAAATTGAAGTCAACGATAGCTTAATCACATTTAGTTTCCTGTCTTCTCTTTGGTTGGCAGAAATTATATGCAAAATTTGTTCATCCACAACATTTAATAAGTCAGCTATTTCAGAGTATATTTGGGTCTGTCTCCTGCAACTAGGATTGATTTTGTTATCAGCCTACCATCTTGATACATGCTTTAGTCTTAACTAGACGTTGGAACATGCTAATGAAGCATGTCAATCCTATACCATAAAACTTAAAATACAATATGCAACTAGACAGAGCTTAGAGAACCTTGAAAACAAGAACCTTATGTTGATTTTGACTATTTGCTGCTGTTTGCTTACATTTTTTAACCAGCTGGCTGCTTTTATCCTTTTCGTGGAATACATTAGATGTCATTCTTAGAATTTGAAAGAATTGAGTGAGATCATGCCTCTAATATATTATGCTTAAAATCAGGATTGTGAAAAAAAAAGGTAGTTGCAGATCTTTGTCTGCTGGTACAAGTGAACAACATTACAGCTCAGACCTAGAATATCTACCCCAAGCCTCATTCCCTCACACGAGTCACATCCTTCTAGTCATCAGAGATTTTGTCCAATACTGTTTTTAAATTGTAGGACCATGGTTGTAAACACTACTTTCTGAAATGCATTTCGTTCACGTATGAATATTAATAGATTTTGCTTGCAGGTAATCATGACTACTGTAAATGATATGTGATGCTCTTTCCTTGCAGTTTTTCATAATCCTGTCGTGCACCATAGCAGTGGGGACCAACCTCAGCCAGTTCATCTGCATTGGCAGGTTTACGGCTGTATCATTCCAAGTGCTTGGCCATATGAAGACTATTCTTGTCCTGATTTTAGGGTTCATATTCTTTGGGAAAGAAGGTCTTAATCTCCATGTAATTCTGGGTATGATCATTGCAGTAGCTGGAATGATCTGGTATGGCAATGCCTCGTCCAAGCCAGGTGGAAAGGAGCGTTGGATTTATTCAGCTCCAAGCAACAAATCGCAAAAACAGGACGAGTTATCAGATTCCACTGAGACAGACGAGAGGGTCTAAAAATTCATTTACAGGTTTAACCAAGTAAAAAGAAATGATATATATATATATATATATAGAGAGAGAGAGAGAGAGAGAAACTAAGTCATTTTCTAGGAATCTATTTACACATAGAAGATCAAAGTTTCAAATTATTACTATTTTTCTCACAAATCATGGTTAATCATTTTTCTTTCTTGTCCTTTAATTTATTCCCTGTAAAACAGCATTTTCCCCCCACGAATAATATTTTCTAGTGTAATTTATTCCCTTGACTTTGAATCTATTTTCCCTTGTGTTGATAATTAAAACCAGGTTTAATTCCTTGTCCATTTGTCCAAATAATTCAGGTAGCCGCACGTTGGGGTTGATTGAGATACAACATCGGGTTCTTCTCTTGGCTTTCCATCAATAAATTGCTGTTGCATGTGAGACATGCAACATAAATTTGAGGCTATTTTCTAGTATTGGTATTTGGGCAAACAAATGAGAGTACTGTCCATGGATCAGAACATTTAAAACATTTTACTAAATGCTGATATTTGTTTGGTATGGTGAGGGAATTCCCTTTACAACAGGAGTTTTCTTGTATGCTCATTCATGGTGGTCCCGAAGCCACTGATTTTTGCCCATTAATGCTTGAAACAACTGGGGAATTTACTAGACCCTTTAATAACTGATAAACCTCTCTCATTAGGGATGCAGGGAATACTGCATTCATGGCAAAAAAAGGGTTAATTTTTGTGGTTAATACAGCCATTAATGGTGCTCGAAACCTGCTGCACAGGTGCACGTGGACGTTGATCAGGTTTCGAGCTGGTTGGTCCCTATTCTCAACTGGAAAAACCTCTTCATGCGTTTTAAACTCTCTTGCATTTATAGCATTTAGGCTTGAATATGCTTACCTTGGAGGTAACTTCAGGGAAATCAGGATTGACTTCATTGTTTATCGTGATCAATAATCGGCGGATCCATTTCATTTATTATAATATATAATATATATAAAAAGTTGTAAACAAAAATTTTAAAAAATATATTATTATATTATTTAATTGTCCACGATAAATTTTCAATTCTTAAAAAAAAATCATAATGTATCATTATTAATATTATCAAATATATTATTTTCAATATATATAAGTATAATTAAACAATCATTCAACCAATAATCATTGCTAATACTATCAAATTTTCCTTCAAAATTTTTTGGTTTTTTAATTTTTGAAAAATTCATGAATATCCTACTATAAGTCATGCATTCGCTACTGTTCATAGTCCAATATTAATATGAATGAAGATTCGTTATCATCGACTCCTCATTGTTGCTGTAGATGTATTGACATTGATATTAAAACCCTCGAATGAATTTAGGACTCGAAATAGTTGAAATTTGTTATAGAATATTGAAAACATTGTTCATGTGCCTTTGTTTGTTTGTAAGTGTTTGACGAAGAATTTTTCACGTAAAACTCACTGTTGGGTGTTGTACTGAGCATGTGATGAAAATAGACAAACCGAGGATTTTTCGCATAAACTTGCTGCATTGGAGTGGTTGATCTGTTCGAAGGTTGGCAACTCGGGCAAGCATCCTAGTCTAAATCGAACTGCCTTCTTACACTTCGAAAAGCATGCACTCCTGACTTATTCTACTTCGATGCATGCACTGATCCCATAATTTAGGCTTGGATTTGGCGGCCTTTCCCACCGTTATTTGACATCTTGAAAATGGCTGCTTAACCAAAAATAAACTTTTGCTCCTATATACACACGTGTCCCCAGAAAAGGAAAGTTACCAATAAATCATATCATTGGACTAAAGAGAAATGTTGAGCTTAGGATCAGAGGTAGCTGTTAGGTTACTTGTCCGGCCATCATGTTTGGCTTAACTGGCTTATCTAATAAAATAAAATAAGATGCTAAAGTTGTCCGATGCTCATGCATTGATGTCAAGAAATTCAAAGGAGGAATTGTAATGGCGTAATGCCGGGAAGTTAGTTCGAAAACTGCTGCATTTGGGTCCCTCCATTCCACCCTGTGGATAAAATAAGTCTTGCTATGGCCTAACATTTTTCAACAATAGATGGCTGGGAACAGCTGCAAGAAATTGTTTTGTTGGTGGAGTTAAAAGTCGTTTAAATATATTATTATTATGAAATTAATGTCAAGTTTGCCACTGCATTAACATTTAATATTAAATTTTATTATCATACTGTCAATTTTGTTAATTTTTAAACAAATAAGTAATAGAGTTAAATTATTTCATGAAATATTAGTGATAAATTTCGTTGAATTCAGTTATATTTTTTAAAAAAATTAACAAAATTTAATGAAATTAGATACAGTGACAAATTCAAAATTTACTCATAATAAAATAGAAATTGATCTTAATCCCTATTATAGATATATTAATTAAGGCTCGAATTACGTCTAAGATTCATTGTACATTCTCCAAAAAAGAAGAAAAGAAACAGAAAAATTAGCCTTGGCTTGCAACATCAATGTCCCTGTGTAGCACGTCTTTGTGTCGACTGTGTTGTGTCTTTAAGTGGTTGTTCGCCTGAATTTATGGTTTTGGTCTTAGATTTTATCTCATATACAAGTGAAAGATATTTTTTGCACTGTATAATAACAAGAAATATTAGTACGTTGTCATAGTATTAAATTTTTTATTTTAATAATCAAAATTTTAACATTTGATAATTTTAAATAAAAATATTATTGTCTAATCTAAGAATTTTATTTTATTAAAAAATAGTTTGTAAAATCATAATATTTGAATGAAAATAACAAAAAACTCTTAAATTTTATTACTTTATTTAAATAAATTTTTATACTTTTATTACATCCAAATAAATCATTAAATTTTGATTTCTAATTAAATAAATTTTTAATTTTTAATTTATATTAAAATAATCTTTTAATGTAAATTATTTTTCTTATAAAATAATGATTTATCTGAATACAAATAAAAAAAATAAGTTCAGTTTATTTGAAAAATAAATAGTTTGAAGATTTTATTTGTCATTACTAGGTTTAAAATCATGTTGGGCCTTTGAGATTTGTATAAGCCCAAAATGTGAAATCCAATTTTATTTCAAATATATGTCTTTTCGTTCTTTTTTATCCATCGATAGCAAAATAATTAAGGGGGGGCCCTCTCCTTTCATGTCATCATCTCTCTCGTGTGGCGTATTGATTTTCATTCTCATCTCTCCTTTTTTCTTCTCATACTTTCCATTTTGATAACAAAGAAAAAGACCAAAAAGAGCGTGAGAGCCCCCCTCTTTATCCTATGCACCCTCTTTTCTTATCCTACGCACCCCGTACCAAAATTTTTTGCTATTATTTATAAACCTAACAAACCCAAAATAGTGGGCCCCCAATTATTGCGTGCGCTTGTTGGCGCACGTGTGTTGTTCCTTTCCTTTTCATTTGCTTGTTGGTTTTCAAGGGTCAATTCGCAAACTCCCATCCCACTTCTTTTCTTCTTGTGTTCTGCCCCAACTCTCCACCCTTAAATTTTTTATAAAACAAAAATACAACTAAAGATTAAAAAAAAAAATAGATTCATCCATTCATCAAAATGTTGTTAACTATTTAAAATATTTTATTTTTATATTTTAATTTTTAATTATATTTTAAAATTAAATAAATAATATTCAAAAGTGAATTGAGCTTAGATGTTAAAATTTTAATTGAAAGTCCAGTTCAAGCCAGGCCAGATCCATGATCCAACCCATGAACAGATGTAATTGTAAGATTAAATAATCTATTTAATTGTAATTTTAAAAAAATTGAAGGACAGAGACAAGGAATGGGGAAAAATAAAAAGGAAAAATGAGAAACGGGGGAATTGTTTAGGAATGTAATATTAGAGGTTAGAGTAACAGTGACAGGCTGGCCAGCTCTTGTCGGTGACCAAATGGTTAAAGCGTTTGATGTTGCAACACCGCACCTCCACGTGTGATTCTGGGACACTTAAGCATTCTGGACAATGCAACTTGTCGATTGCAGTTAAATTGGGTCCCATCTCCTGGCCACTTCCACGTCATCACCACCATCTTTTCATCTCCTTCGTCAATCAAAGGGGAGACTCAACCTCTTTTCCCTCCGACTTCTTCAGAGACCCGTTTCTCTATATTCAGTGCCCAAATTTATAGTACAAAGTATTAAATTTTTTCGTTGAGGAGCCCATCAAATTGTGGGACCCCACTTGTTCTGTGGTCCCAATTATTACCTAGAGAGAGAGAGAGAGAGAGAAAGTGACGGTGACAGAATCACAATCCACCTCTCCCTGTAAGAATTTTCATTTTTCTCATGATTCATTTGCTACTCGCTTTTATTAACTTACACCTGTCAAAAATATCTCATCATTGTCCGTAAAAAGTTGTAGGAAAATCCCTGACTGACGTGGCAACAAAAGAGAGCGAGTACTGAAAGTTTTCACAGACAAAAGCGTGTTGCATGACAGAGGATTTAAGGTAAAATACAGTGATGTTGTAAACAAAGTGATCCAAAAATAACCGTAAAAACTGATTATATGCCATTCTGTTTTTGGGAAGAAGAATCACTATTTTCCCTTTTTTTTTTTATTCTATTTCCAGAGTTAAGACAATTTTTTTTAAAGCAAACATTAAAGGCTAATTTAACATGGTTATTGAAAAAAAGTATGTTTAAAAAGTGTAATTAAAAATTTTAAGGGTTTAATTTTATTGTAAAAATATTATAGTTAATTAAAATATTTTAAAAATACATAATTTAATAAAAATTAAAATGTAAGATAATATAATAATTTTTATTTTAAAAATATTTTTCATCATAAAATTATATTTTGAATAGTTTTTTTTGGGTTGAAAAATCATATTTTTAAACTACAAAGCTATATTTTTTTTATTTAATATTGAAGTTGGATCAAAAAAAATTTTAAGGCAAAAATTGCTTTTAATAAAACAATACTAAACTATGCTTTAAACGATGGAAAATTTTGTTGATACTAAAATTCAAATTTTAAATTTATTAAGATATATTTTTTAAAGGAGATTATACCAATCAAGTTAATTTTGCTCTTGCAAACTACTTAGTCTCTTTCTCTAAAAATAATAATGATACTCATTTTGTTTGAATATTTGATTGTCTTACTGCCCAATAATGATATTAAGATATAGATAATAATTTATCAAATTTGTTTTTATAAACACTAGTTAAAATTAGTTACATTATTATTTTACATTTACTTATTTTTTATCAATTATTTAAAAATTCCTTAGTTACAATTTTTTTTTTATAAATATTAATTTAGCCAATACTTATAAGCACAGTTAATGATTTTTTTAATAAGTCTATGTAGAAAAATTATTAAATATATTATCAATGTAATTTTTTAATTTCATAAATAAAATTAATAAGATAATACATTATATATTTTAAAAAATAAAAAATAAGATATATATTATTATATTAATTCTACTTATAAAATTAAAAATTTATTGATAATACGTCAAATAATTTTCCCTTAAAAAATTTATATAATAGCAATGCATAATTATGTTTTAATTGCCTTAGGCAAACGGTCCCCATAGTGAGCAGTAGTAATTAAAAATAAGTTGCAAAAATTTTCGTCACCATTTTTTGACCTTAATCCAAACTTAAGCAGTAGTAATATAATATATAAAGCCAAGGTACTTGTATCACTTACCTGACTTTTCTTTTTTAATTTTTACGAGGAAATCATTT